TGCCTGTTTGGATGTGAGAAAAAAATCTGAAGGACTTCAATTATTTGATAAAAGCAAACGTCACCACCATCAAACAACACGAGTAGGAAAGAGACAGGTTACCGTAAATCATGCTATCTTTGTTGCAGCTGCCCCTGACACACTTTTTGTGCTATTCGAGAGAACGGCCGTCTCCCATTGGATAGAACTAGCTGTAAAATACCCGAGTTGGCAACACTGTCGCCGTTTTTGCTTTTGGGTGTATGATGAATTGACATTCATCGTTTTTTTTTTTTTTTTTAGAGTGCCTGCTGGAGTGATATGTCTATAATGCCATAAGCCTTATAGACCACAAGCTATAAGACCTGGTCTTATAATACATCAGAGATCAGTCACCCATGTACCAATGATGGTGGTAGAGATGTAACTTCCATCATTATGGTGGTAATATACCTAATAATTAATAAACCTAGGTATATGGTCTTATCATGACTTTCAAAGGTCGTTTTTCACCTTTTTTGCACCCGACTCCGAGGCGAGTAAAATCTATCACGTGATCCGTTGTGAACAACCTCTAGGCTTGTTCGTTTGCGCTAAACCTGCCAAATTTGATCATCTCATCTCTGTTCATCGCACAATGTAAAAAGAGATATTTTATCAAAAAATTTCAAAGCAGGTAAGGTAAATGTAAACGAACATTCCTATACTGGGGACAAGAAGGTGGATAGAAAATAGATGGAGTAGGGCCAGTAGGGAGACTGGAAAATCTTTGGAAATTAATGAAATTATTGGAATATTATTGGAATTTGGAATAACAAAGTGGAAGCTGATGGTAGTGGTGGTAGGAACCACACCACCAGTAGGAACTAGGTCGAATAGGACGAGTAGCACGTATTAATCGTTAATCATTCCTCAAATTTTCATTCACCCTCTACCCAGCCTCTACCTCTATAAAATGCGCCAATAAATCATGAAACGTTCATTTTCTGTAGATGTACTCTAATTAGACCATGCTTTATAAATTGCTATTTTTCACATTGCAACAGATGCAAAATATACCAATTATCTTATCAGAGGAGGTAGGGTTATAGGTAGGTATTAGTACAAATCAATTAGTAGAGAAACTGGTTCCTTGATAGTTTGAGTTGAACTTTGTTACTCGTTTACCATTATCAGTATTTATTGTCAATCATCCATATCAGCATAGATTAAGTGTGTTTCATCTATGATATCAGCATGCAACAATCATCTAATAAAGCCATTGGTGAAATCAAAGTAACTGTACCATGGGGACATGTTGCAGGTAAGTTTGTACATGGTTTGTATGTGTACTTTGTACCGTAACATATTTCCATAGACAACCCCATTTATATTGTAGGCAAGACATGGGGCGACGAAAAAAATCCCCTAGTGCTGTGTTTCCACGGTATCATGGACAATGCCGGATCCTTCGATAGACTGATTGACCTACTTCCTAATTCGTTTTACTATGTTGGGGTAGATTTACCAGGCCATGGCAGGTCATCACATTTTCCACCTCATTTACCTATTCACACTCTCGACTATCTCCTCGTTTATAAGCTGATGTGGAAACATTTTGGGGGCCAAAAGTTCATCATTTTGGGACACAGCTATGGTGGCCAGCTAGGTTATTTGTATGCACAGCTTTATCCAGAGAATGTAGAAAGATTGATTATGTTGGAAACAGTGACTATTTTCCCTGTGTCCGTACAACACTTCAAAGATTATTTAGTGGACAAATTCGCTTCTCATTTAGAGACAGTGGAGAAATTGAGGACCAAGCAACAACCTACCTACACTCGCGAAGAGGCTCTCGAACGACTCCAACTTGGGAGACGGTATGCCATAATCAAGTTAGAAGCAGCAGTGGCACTTCTAGACAGGGCTGTGGAAGAGACTCCTGATGGTCGTTACAGATTCACTATTGACCAGCGTTTGAAAGACTTCATTAACCCTGTACGTGACTTTCGCTATATCATGGAGACCATGAAAGTACACCCAGTACGTTGTCCAGTCTTGGTGATTTTGGGAAAACAGTCGGAGGCTCAACAGGTTTATATGAGTTCTGTGATAAGGCAGTTGAAGAGATCTAAGAATGTTTTACTCAAGATTGTGGAAGGAAATCATGATGTACATAATGATAGTCCAGAAAATGTTGCTCCCTATGTGATCAAGTTTTTGCTAATGCAGAAACCAAAATTGTGAAAAAGTAATATCGTTGATTGATATATTACCCAGCATAAGCGTAATATATCAATCAACGGTAATTGTAATATGTAGTATCAAAAAAATCAAAAAAATAGCACCTATATAGGTACACACCATTTTGTATGAAGTGCACTTGTTATGGAAACCTGTTGTAAGATAAGTTAAGGTAGAGTTAAAGGTGGATTCATGCAAGCAAAATTTAAAACTTAAATGAATTTTAAACTTTAACCAATAATATAAAACTATGAAATGAAATGTAATGTAGGTGCTCATGCAAGAAACTAAAAAATTAAAACTAAGGAAGATGGCCAACATTCAAATCTATGATTCAACTGAGAAACCCATATATTTTTAATTTAAAATTCGTTCAAATCTTAAATTCATTATAATTTAGTTGATGTTGCATGAATCCACCTTTAGATGGCTACAATCTTAGGTAGAGTATAACCAATCCAGTTTTTAGATATTGTACCTGACTTAATTAGGAATATTATGTAAACAGTGAAAAGTGGAGAATTTTGGAGAATGATGATGATAACTGATTTTGATGTGAATCTATAGAAGATACATTTATCAATGTATTATACCTTGGTATGTTTATAAATATATTTTATTTTGATTACCATCTTTAGTTACATACCTCTTACCACCTACCTATACATAAGTGCTGGCTGCTCAGTCCGAGCTGACCGAGACTTTGACCGAGACTTTGACCGAATACTCTAAGCAACTCTAAGCCTAGAGTTCCTAAATGTATTTGACTATTAGACACTGCTGTTTTGGCGTTTTTTTTTACTGTGACAAGCACTGACAATCAGACATAACCACAAATAAATTGATGGAAAAAGCGGGAACTGGCAGTACACGGATACATGACATAAATTTCAAAGGTTTGACAAATTGGGAGAATTAGGAGAAATATGCAAATTTGTGCAGTTTCCAACTGTGAGAACACGGGAAAGCAATTCACTCGAGAATTCACTCTATTCGAATTTCCATCGGATAACGTAATTCTACAAAAATGGAAACAGAATATGATGCGGCCGGCATGGAATATACGTTCAGGCCACAAAATTTGCGAGGTATTCAAATTTCTTGGTAGGATATGAAACATAATAATATAAAGCATTTTTATCAGGTACACTTCACAACGGAAGATTTGATGTAAAAGAATCATATTGGAAGAAAGAGCCGAACCCACAATTCATTAACTGAGGAACGAGTATCGAAAAGGACCTTATTCCAATTTGGAATATTCAAAAATCCAAGGTTTATGAGTGGAAGAGAGTGAGAATTTAGAAAACAAATAGGGGAAAAAAATAGAGAGTTAGAAGATAAGCTGAGGCAAAAAAATTTAGATACAGAAGTCTTTAGTTAGTAAAGTTCGGAACTATATTACCTAAAACACATTTCAGATTTGAAACAAAATCAGCAAATACCTTCAGAAAAATACAAGAAGGATTGAACAAGCGAATATCCGTGCAATTTTGAGCAAAATTCATAGTTTCTATGAACGATACTATGAAAAAATTTTGCATTTGAAAAACCGAATGGAAGATTCGGATAACAAATCAAATAATATTAGTAAAAATGTTGCTTTATATGAACATGATTCATCTCAAAATTCCAAACTTGATGGTAACAGATGGGATGCGAAAAGTTTGGAAAAAGCGTTCATCAAATTCACGTGTGGTTCATCTGGTTACAATAATTTATTGAAATTTCTATACGAATTACTATCGCTGCGTACTCTGAATAGACAAATTACGAAATAAAAGTATGTTTCATTGGTTGAAATTCATCAGTTTTTACTCCATTCTGAATTTTTGTGATGAAAATTTTTCAACTGAACTGAGATAACTGAACGTATAAATATATCTACCTACATATAAGAAAGAGACTTATTTCATATAGAAATAGTATATGTATTTCGTTGGTATATTATGTTGATATCGACCTCCATTGAGGTCCTTTAGCACAGATTAACAAACCTTATTTAGCCTTATCATTCAATATTTCGGGAAGAAATAATTTTCTAATCAATTTATCGTACCCTTTCACCCACTCAAGGAGACGCTATGCACTCTCATACAAAAATCAAAGACAGAAAGATAATTATATGGATGTACTCTTCCCAGCACTTGTGGAGGAAGGAAGATGCGAGAACCCTCTTGGTTTATTGCTGGGCGATTTTGGCTTTGAGGATGTTAGCGATTAGACGTGTAATGATATCATTGGTCAATAGTAGCTTACCAATTCAAATAGACCAATAATAACGCCACCAGGTTTCATCGCTAGCATCGCCAAAGCTAAAATCGCCTAGCAATGAACTGAGCTTAAGTGAAAAACATATTCTTGTCCTTGTCTGGCAAAACATATGATGATTTGCTTCAAAACCGTTTTTGGTTATGTTTGATTGTCACTGCGTGTCCGAAAAACGTCAAAACAGCAGTGTCAAGTACATTTAGGAACTATATCTAAGCCCAACTTGTTGAATTTCAATGATGAATAGAGACCAACAAATGTTAAATACCTTTATCTATGAAATATATGTTTGATAGCAGAGTTAATCCTTCCTTGAAATTTGAAAGTATTGATAGTACGGTAATGGAACATTAACCTTTGTCAAGATTTTGTATGACCCTCGTAAAAAATATGATATCATGATAAGTAGAAAGGATAATACTTAATGATACTTATTCATGAGTAGTTGAAATTTGAAAATTATCTGAATTTTAACCCACTTACGGTGACCTTGACCATGATTTCTAGCTTGTAGAACCACACTGTTCTGAAGGCTACGGGCTAGGCAAGGTGGATAGATATAGGGCTAGGCAATAGAGAACTAACTATCTAGGTAATCGGCAAAACTTTCTAGGTAGTAATAATGGAAGCAAAAACAAAAATTGATGAATTTAATATACCAGTGCCCTGGGGACATATTGCAGGTGGGTGAATAATAGTGATCGAATTATAATTGAATTTTCGTTTTCTATACTGCTCATCATTTGTATGATTTGTACTCACTTTACTCAACAAAGATCTATAGATAACGGGTTTTGGGCTGTATTCATATACCTATAATACATATTATACTCTGCGCCTTATACATCGGCTCTACAGCTCGGCTTATATTACTACTCAGCAACCGGAAAGTAGGTAAACTCACCCTCAGCCTTGATCACTCAGAAATCACAAATTCAGAAAAACAAAAAGTTCAAGCGAAATGAAAACGGAATTGAATTTCAAAATCAAAACAACCTACGGCCAGAGATAAGTCAACTGGTTACCTGCTATGGCCTACAGTCCCTACACTCCCTACACACACTGCACACTACACTTGCACTACCATTACACAGCTCAACCGGGTCTTATTACAGGGATGGTTCCATAAGAAGATACACAACATACACTAATATACAAGGTACAGACAATATATTTGCGAGTACCTTCTTGCAATTTTCCAAACGGTGTAAAATACAGTTTTCAACACACTAAATGGACCACTCATAATTTGACTCTATTTCGAAGACCTGTATTTTTTGAAAAAATTGACCGATCTTCATGCGGTTTTATATCAGATGTGATGTTTCATCGGCCTCAAAGAGATCTAGAACACTCTGAAAAAGTCCGGAGAACAAAACTTACACAGGGTGTAAAGTGGAACCAGTACAATATGGTCTTCATTTCCAATGCTGCCAGAACTGGAGAATTTTTTTTCTGATCAAAAGCCAGTCATATTAAGATACGATACGATTTTTTTTCGAAAGTCCTGCATTTCTTGAATTTTTTCTCTAGAACCCCACTTGAGCTGAATATTGGGTAGAACTGTTCTCATGTTTTGTGGAGGACAATAAAGTAAGTAAGTAAAATGTATGTGTAGTGTAGTGTGTTAAGAACTGTAGTATATAGGCACCGTTACAGGTGCCTAAAGTGTAGATTAATTTTGACAATTTCTTCAGTAGGTTTCCAAAAAACTTTTTGGCTGTGGAAAACCCTCCTCTTGACCCTTATCAGAAATATACCGATGCATACCCGAGTCTAGAATTAACATCAGATTCCTAGTCGGATTCTTATATTGAGTAACCTAGAATCTGATGGATTATTTTGATGATATGACTTCCCAAATTTCTCTGCAGCAACAGCTGTTCAATTACAATTCAAAAAGTATGGGTAGCTTCAGATATATTTGAAAGCATTGTCCCAAAATTATATCTTCAAAATATTCATGAATTCCCAGAAAATAATAAAAAATTTTGTCGATTTTAAAATCAATATTTTCCGTTGAAGTCTAGGCAGAACTATGAATTGAAGTCTATACGAATTATACTTGTATTTGAATTTATTTGGGTCTCCCTAGGCCCTAGGGCCAGATCTTATGCATAACTGATAAGGACATCCAGTTGAGTTGATGGTCCATAGAAAGGTCCCCAATAGATCATGAAGATGTTACTTACGAGAAGGACATTGACGAGGAGTGTATTTATAACCGACGATAGCAGTCGATCGTCGGCGAGGTGTAAGTTAACGTCCTCACAGGGACAGTATATTAAACGTACCGACGGGTATGTACGTAGGAGGTATAATTTATGGGACATTGAAAGAAAGAATTATCCTTTGCTTGTGCGATGGACATTTATATAGGATGTCTATCTGAAGTCCTGATGCCAATGTGTACCACCGGTGGATATCCCATTCCGAATCGTATCCAGGACATATTCTCAGGGCGTCCTTGGGGCGTCCATTAGAAGTTTTACTCATGACATCCCATGAAATTATATTTCCTGGAGGATATTCTTATAATTATTACTTAGATGAACATAATTATGGATTCATATAAATCTGACGGATGTTTTAAGGGACATTCCGACTGTTATACAATCCTCCTTGCATGGAAATTGTACAATATGTACCACGTGGGAGGTCTAAGCAAGGATGCTATTTCTAGGACTTTTAAAATGATGTACCAGCAGAGAAATCGCATAAGATGTACGGGATGGGACGTTCCAAAAGGACAATACCAAATAGGGACGTCCCTAGGATGTTGCGTGCAATTAGGGATATATCACCTTGCATATTGAAACAAATCAACTATATATGTTACTGCATTTGTACCTATTTGTGTTGTAGTGAAAGCCTGGGGAGATAGCAATGACCCCCACGTTTTGGTGGTCCACGGAAGACTTGACAACGCAGGAGGATTCGATAACTTGATGCACCTCCTTCCAAACTGTTTCTACTACGTTTGCATGGATTTGCCTGGCCACGGAAAATCCTCACATTTTCCCGCTCATCTGCCTTTGCAAACACTAGATCAAGTCATAGCGTACAAATTGGCCATAGCTCATTTCGACAAGAAGTTTATCATTTTGGGGCACAGCTATGGGGCACAGTTAGCTTTGCTTTTCACCAGGTGGGTTTTCAACCGAAGAACTAAATATCCTATTCTAGTGTGCTGCTTATATGTACAGGTTGTCTGTAAAAGGTCTTTACAAAGACATACCACATATTCCTTAGACCAAAATAAGTCGATTTAAGTAAAATTACCTTAGTACAAAGTTGCATCGTATGGGCTCCAGAGGGCCTTGAAGTTACAATTTTCAAATCGTTTTTCCCATATAAATTTAAAACGGCATATGCGATTTTGCTGAAATTTGGTATATTGATAGAATTTTAGGTGGCAAAAAAATGGTGTTGAAATTTTGTCCGATAATAATACATAGGCGTAGAACTATGTAGTATTATCGGACAAAATTTTGACACAATTTTTTTTGCCACATAAAACTATCAATATACCAAATTTCAGCAAAATCGCATATGTCGTTTTAAATTTATATGGGAAAAACGATTTAAAAATTGTAACTTCAATGCCTCCTGGAGCCCAAACGATGCAACTTTGTACTGAGGTAATTTCACTTGAATCGACTCATTTTGGCCTAAGGAATATGTGGTATGTTTTTGTAAAGACCTTTTACAGACACCCTGTATAATAGGTATATTCAAAAGACGCGACCGAAAGTCATGATCAATTTTTCCAGTACATTTCTGAGATATTTTGCGTCATACAGGGTTACTTAAAAATGCGTGGCGTATCAAACTTATACTTTTTCTTATAGCACACCTTGTATTTTATTGCATTCTCAGATTACTCCTTATCAGCTGACAAGGTTCAAGCATTGATAACAATATACGAAGTGATACTTTTTTTCAGTATCCTACGTCACCACAATTACATACATATAGTTCCCAGTTGCTGCAAGCACCACAATTGATTGATGATTTTTGCTACTTCGGCTTGTGCAAATCGGCAGATTATGTTATTTCCGTGATCCGTGACTAATTGCCTTCAAAATACAAATAAAAAAATTAACCGCGCTCAAGAATGTACAGGTGACTTTGCAACTTTGTGGCCCTCCCATTTCCTTATGTCACGCTCAAATCGTCAGATTATTGAAATACACACTTTTCTGCATGTAATTATAAGTCTGACGCGCTCGAGTATATATTTTGTCCTGCATATATGACACTTATACTTGCTTCATTCAATTAAGCTTTGCTTGATTCAACAATCCTTTTTTTCCTTGTATAAGATATTCAAGTCTTTTTCGTTTTCGTGAGCCCACTTTGTATAGTCTCTATACTCTGTATGAAGTTGGGATGCAGGGTAACATTTTTCAATCGATCCTATAAACTTATGAATGCCTCATATTATTTCGAACACAACAATGTATAACCCTTTTGTACTTTGTACAGGCGCTGTGAAAAATGTCTTATCGTTTTTAAGTGCATCTATGAGAACTTATCAGAATCTCAGACATGGTTTGAAGTATCTACAGTTCACAGAAATAAAATTGTTATCGGTATTTATATAGACGGATTATAATGCAACAATTAACGTTCTCAATGAAGTGCGAGCTGCTTGAAATGAAAGTGATTTTTTTATTCTTTTGAATATTCCACTTCCATTTTGATTTTTGTATAGTTTAGACCTATCCATTTTCCTCAGCATTCTACTTGTCTGCCCTCAAACTCATTGAGAGAGCTGGAAATACTCACAGTTGCTGGTCTGTATACCGGGTGACACAAGAGACGCCACAAAGGTTATATAATCGATGATGGCGCTTTCCTTGAACCCAATGACATTTTTTATTCAAACACCTGTTTGATTGGAAGTAGACCCAACTTTTTTTTCCATATAGCACACTGTATATTTCTTCTGTTTATCTTATGCGCCTTAAAGTTCTCTATTCAACTATATGTATCACAATTTGATATTCATTTATTAATTGGCTGTTAAATTGCATTTTATTGAAATATATGAAGTTGGCTGTGGCCCGAATACAATGACATTTCGATGCCTGATAGGCTTAGAAATCCAAAGATCATCACTTAGACCAGGGGTGCTCAGACTTCCAGTGCCGGCGATCTGTCACAAAATATTTAGGTTAAAAGCGATCTGTTCCTAAAAAAAACATACATTTACAAGAATATTATTTATTGCACTTCAAAACAAAACATACATATAAGAATAAGGCACAAAATGTCAATTTCTCTCTGGACGTTGATGCATGGCACTGCATATCGTCGGCGTACTTTTCATAAGACGGAACGTAATTACTAAGTGTCAACCGCAAGCATGATGTCAGGTGTTCGTCAGTAAGCCGATTGCGATATTTTGATTTAATAATTTTCATTTCTGAAAATGCTGACTCACACAAATACGTTGATCCGAACAATCCTGTCAATTGAAGACCTACCTCTTTCAAATTCGGGTATCTCTCTTGAGTTATAAAAGACCAAAATTTTACATCAGATGCTAGCTGGCTTGAAGATGTATATCGGAATTCATCTGCAATACCTCATTTTCCATACTGTCGAAATCAGAGAATCGTCTTTCAAACTCGTCCAAAAGGTTTCTAAGCTCGGCCTCGTAAATATCGTAATTTGAGTTAGTACTTTTTCTTGCTTTCAATGCTGGAAAGCTATTCAAGTCATTTCGATTCAGTTGTTAGATCAGTAGCTTCAATTTATTTTTGAAAGCATTTACTGAACTTCAAGTCAATAATCGTTTTATTTTTACCTTGAAGCTCCAAGTTGATAGTATTCAAATGACCTGTGATATCTGATAAGAAAGCTAAATACTAATTTTGACCCCTTCGATCAGGCATACGTTTTCATTGACATAAACGAATTTGATATTTGATCATCTGTCGAATACTGTATACGACAAATCCTTGGGCTTTTCGAGTGAAAAATCGATTCATACCAAGTAGCACCAGTTCAAGTATTTTAATACAGGGTGAGCCAAAAGTGACTGACTCATATTTCAAATATCCATACGTTTTTCCCTAGTTAAGCATAAGCATGTCTTTAAGGAACACCCTGTATAACTCCACGAATAATCAACCAATATTGGTTCGAGAATATTTCACCAATGTGAAAACAGACGATATTGCAACATGCTGATTTTCAATATTCCACCCACATTTTGAAACTAATGTACCAATATCGCCGAATGTTTACATTTTGTTTCTGCCAATATAACGTTTACAATATTTTGCTGATATTCTCGTAATATTGCACTTCGGCTTTGTTCCTTCGAACACCCTGTGTCACGACACCGCTACACCAAATTAACGAAGATTCGCGGTTTTGGATGATTCCTTAACGGAAATATTTTTGTGCACAAACAAAAATGCTGCTGCACTTTGGCGACACACCATTAATCAGAAACATATGAAAATAAGTTCAATTTATTAGTGTAAAGTTGAGAATTAGCATTGTCCACACATTTATTGATCAGTTTACCAGGTCACAAATTCTCTCTTTTTGATTAGTTTAAACAACTGACCTTGAAATATGTCATAATATATTGTTAATTGTTAATGGACCGTGGAGCTGGACATCATAAACTACAGTTCATGCCAAAAATAAGAATTCAAAGAACGACGAAATTTCTTGTTGTGGTCCTTATGAAAAGCACCAGTATAATTCAATGTTTTTTTTTTGTTAGATTATATCCAAACCTTGTTGAAAAAATAATTTTGTTAGACGCTTTCCATTTATACACAAAGGAAGTGAAAGATTTAAAAAAATACCTTATCAAGAAACTGGAAAGCTTCCTGGATATCGACGCTAAATTAGCCACCAGGCAGCCACCGACCTACACTTATGAGGAAGCCAGAGAAAGAATAAGCGGCAACAGGTATCAGGGTGAAACTCTGCTAACTAAAGCAGCTGATCCTTTATTGGCGAGGATGTTGAAATCAGCAGGTATTTATCTAGTGATTTGAAAAATCATTTTTATGTTTTCAGTGTGTTTTACTCTCCATGTGATCATGTTTTGTACAAGGTGTACAAAAAAATGGAAGTCACATTCTCGATCTCTTTTTTTGAGACGAATTTTTTGGCAAAAACAAAAATTCGTGTCTTCAAGTTATAAAAATTCAAATTTATAATGAAAACTATGTGAGATTACTATTTACCTGAAAAATCATCTTCCTTCGTCTCTCGCTGCATTTTTTGTGCATTGTACAACAGCACAATGTGATGGCATGCGCGAATTAATGAATAGCCGAAAAACACGATATTCGTGGGCGAAAATAATTGTGAAAAACTATTTCAATCACTTGTAAACAAATAAGAATAGTGAGGTTGTGTTTCAATGTTTCACCTCTAGGGTCGATCATCTGACAGTTCTTGCACGCAACCCATGAAGTTCGAATTGTATTCGATTATTTTTTGAATAGTTCTGAACGAACGTTAACATTTTACGACGCGCTTTGTTTATATATGTAACAGTACGAAATGATTACTATGGAAATAATTTTAAATTTCTGATTGGTGGAGCTACTCTATGTATATCCACGTATATCTGAAATTATACAAGGTAGCTCAAACCAATTGAAAGTTCTAATTGGTTTGGAATCATGGGAAGAAAATAATCCCTAGAATATTTTTTTCGTAAAAGCAATATACAAAAATAATTTGGAAACGATAAAGTTGTATTTTGATTTTCTTAATTTAATTTTATGATTTTACTTGAGAAATAGCAGTAGCGTGACTCTTTTTTCATATTATCATCAGCTCAGTGAAAAAATTCTAACATCAAAAGTAATATGTAGTTTGTTAAATATCATAAAAATCGAAGAAAATATTTCCTCAGAAATTGACTCAACATTTTTCCACTCCATTTATATAGACAATGGAAAATACACATTCACTTTCGACCAGCGAATGAAGAGCTACATCAATCCACTACACGACCGCCGTTTTGCCAAGGAAAGTTTGCTGGAGGACCCAGTAACTTGCCCGGTATTGCTGATCCTGGCAAAGCAAAACCAGAAACCGATTAGGAAATACGCAGATATATTGGACATGATAAGGAAGTGGAAAAATGTGACTGTGAGATTCGTAGAGGGTGGTCACGATGTCCACAATAACTACCCCGAAAGGGTTGCTCCCCATATCACTGAGTTTTTGTTGAAACAGGAAGCGAAATTATGATATTCAAAGTGTTGAGTTTGTTATAAATGGCATGAACAAAATTTGTGTTTTATTCATATCATTACCTACTTTCTCAAAATTAATAGCTATTCATACAGGGTGTATCTAAATAACACCGAAAAAATTGCGATATTCTAGCAAATAAAGTTCACATAAACATGTGTCCTAACTCGAAAGATGCTTGTCAAATAATGCCACATTTCCTCGGATTCAATGAAACGGGAATTATCAACAATCATTTCACATTGAAATATGTCGTTGGGCCAATATTTCGTTTCACCCAATTTTCCATTCGCCCAATTTTCGATTCCCCCAATTTTCGATTACCCAATTTTCGATTCGACCGAGTTAGGTAGGTAGGTTTGGTAGGTTTGGTAGGTTTGGTAGGTTTGGTAGGTTTGGTAGGTTTGGTAGGTTAGGTAGGTTAGGTAGGTTAGGTAGGTTAGGTAGGTTAGGTAGTTTTGATAGGTTAGGTAGTTTTGATAGGTTTGGTAGGTTAGGTAGGTAGGTTACGTAGGTTAGGTAGGTTAGGTAGGTTAGGTAGGTTAGGTTAGGTTAGGTTAGGTAGGTTAGGTTAGGTTAGGTAAGGTGGTTTGAAAAAGGTGTTCTTCCTTATGCAGAAAAGAATATTTTCCCTAATTATATCACGTCGAAATTTGGGTCGAACAAAATTTGGGTGAATCGAATTTGGGGCGAATCGAGAATTGGTTGAATCGAAAATTGGGTGAATCGAAAATTGGGCTAATCAAAATATGTACCATACATACATATAATGTGTACCTAAAAATCGAAATATTTGATAATGATAAGCCCAGAATGATTCTTCATTCAGATTTGGCAACAACGCATCGTTCGGGTATATTCGGAGATGGTGGGCGAATCGAAAATTGGGTGAATCGAAAATTGGGTGAATCGAAAATTGGGTGAATCGAAAATTGGGCTGAACGCAACCTACCCGAAAATTGTTCTAGAATTTGAAACGCGTCGAGCAGAAAATATCTGCATAATGAATAACCTACCATTTCTTAAAATCGCAGTAATAATATTACTAAGCGAAAAAACTAAACAAGAATAATTAATAACAACAATGTTGATGTCAACGTCAAAATTAAGAACAAAATCGGTCATGGCCTCCTAAAATATTGTTACCGATGAATTAATCTGCTGACATGTGACTACAAAACCCAAATATCTCAAAAGCTGTTCAATTATTCGCATTTTGAAAACACCCTTTATAATGATATCATAATAATGTAGAAGTGCATAAGAAAAATGTATTTTAACAACATTCATTCATAGAGATCATTTGAATCTTGTGACTTTCACCGTTTAGAAGCTATGCGGAAAATAATTTCAATTTCATCAACTCTGGAAGGATATATTTCCCTTGATAATAAGCATTTTGAGCCATAAGTTTATTTATCAAAGTATACTTATTTTTTCACGTACATGGTGGGCAAAATTGGGCGTTTTCATAGGCTATCTCAGTAACTGAAGGAGTTATCAAAAAATCGATATACATGTTACGGGTTCGATTTCAGAGAAACCTCGAATGGTACAATAGGAATTTTGATATCTTCATTCGTTTCAGAGATACAGGGGGAAATTGAAAAAGGTCCGATTTCGTTGTTCCATTAGAAAAAAAATAATTGACTGCCGTATCTTCTTGATGTCACCCTGTATAAAATTGCTGATGATGCCAATGGATTCTACGCATCATTCTATATGGATGAAACTTTGAAATTTTTCAATATCTCTCTCCATAAAGTACTCAGAAGATAAAAACGAAATCGGCAATTTTCAATTTTCCCCTGTATCTCTGAAACGAATGAAGATATCAAAATTCCAATTGTATCATTCGAGGTTTCTCTAAAATCGAACCCGTAACATGTATATCGATTTTTTGATAACTCATTCAGTTACAGAGATAGCCTATGAAAACGCCCAATTTTGCCCACCCTGTACTATCACCTTCAGAAAGCGAAGTACACAATTTGGACTCACCCTGTATAAATTGATATAAATTCGTCACTTTTGAAGAATTGAAGTGCCATAATCATCCTTGTGAAACGACTTTAGTTGTGATTTTGAGACCTAATCTCATTGTTTCTTTGGTAATAATATAATTCAATGTTCGTCGTGGCATATAGTCAGGAAAGTAGTTGTTTTCTGTTGAATAAACCGAGAAATAATTGATATTTTCATCACATAGAGAATGCAAATTCTCAAAGTATTTCTTTATACAGGGTGAGTCATGAGGAACTGTACATGCTCCTACTACGAATAGAGGCAGCTGAGGGGAATACCAAATGACCATCAGAAAGTGTCTCCGCCTCTTCTAAAATGATCTATAGGGTGATTTATGGGATATGGCCAAAACTTCTTTCAATCATATCTTTCCAACAGTTCTTTCGATTCCTTTCATTTTTTCATGGATTATTATGCTGTCACTCAGCAATCAACTGACGTATTCAGAATCGTGAAAATCCAGGACCGGTCTTGAGAAATTCTGCCAATTTGGTTCATATAAAAAATTTCACCCTGTATGAGGTTTTAGTAAACTGTGATATGGAATTTCTAAAGTTGATGAACAGGCAACCAAAATGAAGTATTTCAAATTTTCCTCACAATTTCATTGAATTTCTTAGAAAATGATTAATTTAAACTGCACATGAAACTTGGGCAACAAATGTATTAATTTCAAAATTAATACTTCGCAATGCATGAATTTCACGAATAAAAGTAAGGGTAAAATTATTCCTGATTCTTGTTTGTCAACTCCGAACATTTCATGTCACAGTTTACTAAAATCATATACAGGGTGCAATTTTTGGTGATTATCACCATGTAACAAAAATTTACTGAATCCAACCCTGGATATAGATGAATGTTGATATTCAGTGAACTGAGGAATACGAAATGATGTTATTCTTGCTTCTATTCGTGAAATTCTAGCGGTGCGAAGTATTCATTTTCAAATTAATACATTTGTTGCCAAAGTTTCACGTGTAGTGAAAATTGATCGTACTCTAAGAAATTCTGTGAAACTCTGAGGAAAATTTGAAATACTTAATTTTGGTTGCCAGTTCATCAACTTTGACAATTCCATATCACAGGTTACTGAAACCATATACAGGGTGTAATTTTTGGTGATTATTACTCTCTACTAAAAAATTACTGAATCCAACCCTGGAAATAGAAGAATGTCGATTATTGTTGAGCTGAAGAATTGAGAATGATATTATCCCTACTTTCATTCGTGAAATTCATGCGTTGCGAAGTATTAATTTTCAAATTAATACATTTATTGCCCAAGTTTCGTGTGTAGTTTAAATTAATCATTTTTTAAGAAATTCAATGAAATTATGAGGAAAATTTGAAATACTTCATTTTAGTTGCCTGTTCATCAACTTCAGAAATTCCATATCACAGTTTAAAACCTCATACAGGGTGAAATTTTTTATATGGACCAAATTGGCAGAATTTCTCAAGACCGGTCCTGGATTTTCACGATTCTGAATACGTCAGTTGATTGCTGAGTGACAGCATGATAATCCATGAAAAAATGAAAGAAATCGAAAGAACTGTTGGAAAGTTATGATTGAAAGAAGTTTTTGCTATATCTCATCAATCACCCTATAGATTATTTTAGAAGAGGCGGAGACACTTTCTGATGGTCATTTGTTATTCCCCTCAGATGCCTCTATTCGTAGTAGGAGCATGTACAGTTCCTCATGACTCACCCTGTATGTATATCCATTTATTTTTCTTTATGTTCATAATTTATCTGAGAGTATTCCTTTTCAATAATTTTAAAGTTCCTACTCGGAGAAACTACAAAGCTATTATAGGCACCACCATGAAAAAATACTACTTTATTCCATTATAGTACAGTTTATAAAGAAATAAAAAAATATACATTTAGTTGAATTTACACCTATAGACAACCACTTTTAGGCACCACCAGTGTGAATAAAATTTGTATCAAAGTCAAAAACAACAACATAACGTACTTTCAGTCATAACAAAGTTGAAAAAAAGTGAATGTCAGTAAAGCTTTTTTTCGAATCGAACCTCGTAATATGACTGTTCACTAAGAATATATTTGGTTACAAATTAAAAAAAACTTGACCTTCGGCTATCAAATTTTAAACGAAAATCCACCAATCATCACAATCAATGGGTTGTGTTAATGCTAATTAAAACGAAAACGGACGGTAAAAAATCAACTGAAGGAATACAATATGCCTTACACTATATACAATACCCTCAAATTGTTGATAAAATTGGTCAAGTCATTAAAATAAAACATGTGGTCCACTTTTAGCATGAATATTCGACTTTTAGGTACTGTTAATCCTTATTGAGAAATGTGAATACTTTGTGAAAAAATATTTACAGTGTGACCCACTTAAGAATGGAGCACCTTCACACAATCCACATTTTCACATCTGATTTCAGAAGATTTTTCAGCAGGAGTATCAAAAAGTTAAGACACATCATATAAAAAATTGAAGAAAAAATTAAATGAAGACTTCAGATGCCAGAAACCTGGAAGTTCTTCGATTTTTTGCTGATTCTCAGATTTCGTCTGAAATACTAAGTTTCAGAATTATACTTTTCTGCTAATATACTTTTTCTCAAAATTTCACAAACAATGCTAATCAAATGTGTAGGCCATTTTTGAAAATACCAAAACAAAAACCAAACAATTTTTTCAGAAAATTTGGGCTAACGTGAGTCACACTGTAAATACGATGACATTTTTACACCATGTAGTGAATTTTTATTATTCATTTCAATTCGAACATTCTGAAAAAAAGGAAGAGATGAAGTAAAACCAAATAAAAAACGAGAAAAATAAAACATTGAAGAAATCGGTCACATTTTAAAATTTTTTTGTCGTCACAGAAATAAAAACCAATCAATTTTGGAAAATTGTTTGCTTAAAGTGGAACACGGACGAATGCACATTTGTGGCTTTTTCTTCAAAAGAACGTAAGCGCCAAAAATAAAGGCCACATTCTGAGCCAG